AACAAATGAGGAAATAAGGCCACTTAGAAGGGAATCTAATAATGTTTTCTGTTTGTCAGGCCAGACTTCGTTTCCAGGATTATCCATATGTAAATTTATAACAACCTTGTAAACGTTATACTATCATTATAACCAATTACATATGAGCAACCAGAGACACAGAGAGCCGAAATAGCTTGCCGAATATTACATATACAGTTATTTGCAGAGTTGGGGTTTGAACTTAAGAAGTTTAGCTCCAGAGTCCATGCTTTTAAACATCACTACAGTTCAAATATGATTCGGGAGATGGAGAGCAAAATAACCTAGTAGAGATGGGACTAGAAGAGAAATATGGTTTGAAAACCTCTCAGATTACACACATAAGAACATCTTACTAATTAAAAGGCAAATATTAAGCTAACACATTCTCTCTCCCTCCCTCCCTCTCTTTCTCTCTGATATTTTAGAAACCATATTTGTTACAGGTTATATTTTGTTACATCCAAATTCCAAAGGGAAGACCAAATTCTTCTTGATATTCAGTGTTGCTTGAAAGATAAGTCAGCACCTAATTTGTGTTTTCCAACTAAATCTTGGGCCCTGAAGGGTGTGTCATTTTGCCTTATTTAGTAATCTGTTATGTGGCCTTAGGTAAGTCATATCACCTCAGCACACCTTCCTTTCCTCAGCAGGGGCAGTGAAGCATGTAGACTGAGACCACCATTTTTGGACTCAGACTAGTGACTTTGCAACTACTACTTATGTGACCTTGGACAAGGTGTGTATTACTTCACCAAGCTTGTTGTCTCATCTATAATACTCACTACACAACATTGTAGGGGGGATTAATAAGATAAAATATATGAAGTGTTTGCCATATATATAGTACATGCTCAATAAATACTTATCTCTTACTAATTATTAATGAAATATATAAATATTAATTTTTTTCTTAAAGCAGAGCTTACCCATCAATAGATTTACCAACAGACTTAGGTTAAGTAGAAGTTTTCCAGACTCTTCATTTTAACTATTAGTTGGGGAGCTCCTACTCACAAAGTATCTTAAGACAATTACATTTCAGTTAGGGCAATGAGAGTTGTAAATATCATATTTGTATCAAGAACTTTCCACTAGAAAGTAGTAAATATTTTAAGTGAGGGACAGCTAAAGAAATTGCTTTCACGTGAAAATTCAGAAGAGGAAGAAATCGCTTTCACCTTCAAGAGCTGGAGCATGGAGTAGAGAAAGGGCCATTGAGTTAAACCTTGAAAGATGCTACTAACGAGTAGTTTTTCTCTGCACAGCCCACAGAGTGAATAATTACTTTCTCCTCTGTGGTATGCTTCATCACTTTTATTATTCAATTTATAAATTAGATTGTAATTCTTGTTTCTGTCTACAAGTTATTATATGCTTTTGCATGACAGGGTTGTCTGATTACCATGGAATTCTCCAGAACCTGATAAAAATAATATTAATAGCTGTAAGAGTAAGAGAAATAACAGAAAGGATATTTGTGCATTTGGCTCAGGCCAACGATTAGAGTGTAATGTTAGAGTCTGATTTTAACTTCAGGCTGTGACTCTTACTTACCTTGGGCAAGTGATTTTTAGGGTTGCCAGGTAAAATACAGGACACCCAGTGAAATTCGAATTTCAGATAAACAATAAGTAATTTTTTTTAGTATATCCCGTACAATATTTACGGCATATTTATGACAAAATGTTACTCATAGTTTATCTGAAATTTCACAATGAACTCGGCGTCCTGTATTTTTATTTGCTAAATCTGACAATCCTAGTGATTTCCCTTATCACGTTTGTTACCTGCAAACGAGGTGAAAACAGTACCTTCTTTTCTGGATAATATAAAGGACCTTGCTCGCGTTAAACCCGCAATTTACCTTCCCAATCAGCATACTTCAGTAGAGACACACGTTAAAACTCTGGGACAGTGGCCCGGGAGCACCCAAATACCAGGTTACCCTTCTTAGACGGTTTTCTAAAGCGTGTAGAGAAATTTCAGTACAGCTGTGAACAAAGTTGCAAACTGCGGTGAAAGATTTGTCAAGGTGCCTCCCGAGTAACAGCAGGAGAGAGGAAAAGCCACATCACAGCAAGCCGCAGACACTTCCCTTAGCTACAGGGATACCCACAGCCGCGCCTCTGCGCAAGCGCACAAGAACTTACGCCCGACCGCGCGGCCCCGCCCCATCCGAGAGTGTCACGTGGGCGAGTCGTAACTACCGAGGAGACGCCAGGCCTGGTCATGTGACCCAGGACCCCGCTTCGCGCAGGGATGGAGCCGGAAGAGGGGACGCCCTTGTGGCGGCTGCAGAAGCTGCCGGCCGAGTCGGGCCCGCAGGTGAGGGGCGCGCGAGCGGCGTGGGGCGCGGGGCCCGGGGTGCGGGGCGGCCGGGAGCGCGGGGCGGGCGGGCTGCGACCCAGACGCCGCGCGGGCTGCGCAGGGAAGGGCGGGGGACGCTGCGTGATTCGGACAGCCGGCCCCGGGCCTCCCCCGGGGAGTTCGGGAGGGCTTGGCTCGGGACGCCACCTTGGAATTGCGGCTCGAGGGGCTTTGCCGGCAGCGCCCGCTCCCTCGCGCGGCCGGGACCCAGCGACCCTGGGCTGAGGTGCGGGGTCGCCGCGTCGTCTTTGGAAGCTTACGACGTGGCGTCGGTGGTTTGCGGCGTCTTCACAGACGTTTCATTCATTCGTTGAACACACACCTCCGAGCGATCCCCGGGCACCCGGCACGGTGCTGGGTGCTGAGGTTACCGGTTGCCCCGGTGAGCCGGATCGGAGCCACCCTGCCCCCTGGAGGCCGACAGAAGGAAAAAAAACTCGGTTAGCGTTTGGAAGGAAGCGAATAACGGGCGACTTTAGTTAGCATGATCTCAAAAGGTGACATATCCACTGACTCCTGGAGTCTGAAGGAACCTGGCTTGTGAGGATCTGGAAAAAGTGGCCTCATCCGTTGGTTCAGGCAGTTCTTCCTAGACTGAGCGCCCTGGCGGGAGGGGGTAAAATGGTGCGTGAGACACAGCCCGTGTCCTGTTGGAGCATCTTTTGTAAGTAGCAGTTTTGGCCTTCCATTTTCCTCTCTACCTACCATTTCCAGTAGGGGAGACAGGACGGAATTAACTACTGCCAGGATCGAGAAAAAAACAAACACCTTCACTCTTTTCTTTGATTTTACAAGTGAGGAAACTGAAGTGTCAGCCGGAAGTTTGAGTAACTTGCTCAAGGTTGTCCGGCCAGTAAACGGCAAAGCAGGAACATATGCTCAGACCTGTCGACCGTGCATCTTTTGTTGGCATTCCTCTGTGCCGTCTTCATTCTACTCACTTCTTCGATGAGGCCCATAATCTTTACTACATGTATGTGGATGACTTCTAAGTTCCTGGGTCCAGCCAAAAATCTCTTCCCTGAGTATCAGGCTTCTGCCACAGGTACCTCGAATTTAATATGTCCTTGGCTGAGCTCCTGTTTTTTCCAAACTGTGGACCTGCTACTCCCATAGTCTCATTTTCTGTCTGTGGCATCACCGCTTTTACCCGCCCAGCCTGAAATCCTGGATTTCATCCTAGGCCTCTCCTTCTCACATCTCTTGTACCGCCACCGTTCCGAGTGTCCTTAGCAGTTAGGCCCCCGTAATCTTTTGCTCATCAACTGAAGAGGGGGTGTGTGGGGGAGGGTGGATGTGGAGGGGTGCGCCTTTTGGTCTCAGCCCTCTCCTTTTCTCTCCTTACGTCTCCCAACCTGTTGGCAGATTTATGGAAAAATAATGCAAATATATGAGTAGGTTGCTTTCTGGTTGAGCACAGGTTAAAGTCTAGGCTCTCTTGCATTGTATGCAAGGCCCTTTTTGATTAGGCTCCTACCCGCCTCCCCAGCCTTGTCTCCTATCCCCCTCCCTCACCTCCCAAATTGCCTGCTCTTCCCCTGGTGAAGCAGTGTGATTTTACACTTTCATCCTATGTATATATACAGTCGCTTGTGATTAGAAATGCCCTTCTCTCCTGTTGGCCTGGCCAACTACTTGTCTTTTTGTTAATAAGACTTAGCCTTTTCCTTGCGTCCTCTCTATGCTCCTTTGTATCTTCTACAAACTTTTATTATATAGCCCTTATCTTTCTAAATTGCATTTATTTATTTATTTATATGTCAGCTTTTTTCTTATGCATTAAAGCTCTGTTATGGTAGGGCCTTGTTTTATTTATTCTTAGTTTCCTCATTTGTAAAATGGGAATAACAACACCTCGTAGGGTTGTGGTGAGGATCATTCAGGGCTTGGTTCCTTGTTAGGACTCCATAAATGGTAACTGTCATAGTTGTTTTTTCTTCGTATTTCCGTTTTCTTATTTAATAACTGGAATGAAGTGTTCATTACATACTTGTGAATAAATAGAAAACATTCAATAAAAGATAGCACTTTTATTTTCTTACTTTGAATTTTGGGTTTTGCTTTAGCATGGGGGCAATATGGGACAAGATGGAATATATGTAGCGAATTTTGAATGATTTTTAAATTAAGTACATTGGTTGGTTTATGGTAAATAAAAGTTCTGTTTGCATAGTGCATTGGGCACCATTTGGAAGTGGAAATCTCTGGTTGTTCATCTCTGTTCTGGTATGTGTAATGTTATAGGGAAGGAGTTATTATTTACAGTGGAGTGGAATAAGATCCAGGAGAGACAAGTTGGAATACTTGCTGCTTAAATGTTATTTCCAAGTTATTTGGGTTCACATACTCCTCTTATAAGATACAGATATCACCTGAGAACGATAACCATGTTAAATGTTTGCCTGGAACAGTACTGGCATTGTAGGTACTCAGTATATGTTGAAGACATGGATTGCAGGAGTAGTAGTAGGGATAATAATAACAAGAATGATAATAATAGCTAGGAATGTTTAAGTACTTTGTACATGCCAGGAATGTGCCAAGTGATTTGCATATGTTCTTGTTTAATCCTTACAACATTATGAAAATAGGTGATATACTCATTTTACACTTGAGGAAACAGACACAGAATATTTAAATAAAACTAGAATGTTGAAATAAAACTAGTTTAAATAAAAGTGAATAGTTTAAATAAAATTATTTACATAAAAATAGTGGAACTAGGATTCAGACTAGCTAGTTTTGTTCCAAAATCCACAGTCTTAATGTTCGCTTATATATGTGTTAGGATTTTCATCGCTGATGTTAAAACAGAGTAGAGAGAAGGGAATGTGAAAGAAGAAAAGGTACTGAGGCTTTCTCAGAATAGAGCAAAAGAAGTAAGTATGAATGTGGTGGAAATGAGGCAAAGCAAGGCTTTTGGAT